TTAATATGAATATAAAAAAGCAAATAAGAAAATATGAAAAAAAAAAAAAATCTAACTAAACGAAATTTTACGTAAACTTACGCATTAATCATTAAACCAAAAAAAAAAAATCCTAATTGTAATAAACAAAATGCAGTCTGTATTTTTCTGTTATACTGAAGTTGTGCGCTGCTTAAACTGAAATTCAAGTGTCTGAGAGATGAAACCAAATTGTGTGTATACGTATACTATTTTTCAACTAGTTTTGCTTTAATTTAATTTTAGCATATATAAACAAAATGAAATCTATAACAAATCATATTAAGAGATAACAGAAATTAAGATACAACAACAAAAGCAAACAATTATTGTATAATGGCAACGAAATCCTTGCATATGTGCATTAGACAAACAAATAACAAAATACTTTATGCCATAGAAGCGTAGATAGTTTTTTTTTCTCTCTAATTGTATATTCTCTATATTCTCTTAAAACTATTTTAATATTTCTCGCAAACTGTTCTTTCGCAGCTTCATTGAAGTCTTACTGTTAACTGGCATATATATATTTATTGAATAATGATTGTGTGTATACAGCAAAAATGATGAAGAAATCAAGAAATTGTAAGATTGAAGTATTTATAAAGAAACAAACAAAAAGTCTTAATATTTCTCGTTTATAACATTTCAAACACCAAAAGAAACTGTAAATCGAGTTTCGAGTATCAACACTGTGTATGTTGTTTCACGAATTTTTGTTCTGCATTCAAAGGGTTGCATTAACTTATTATACATACATATATACATACATACATGCATACATCTAACATATACAAAACGTATTTATTTATTAAAAACAACAACAACAACAATATTTAGAAAACGAACTTTGTAACTAACACACAAAAATTATTAAGAAGCGAAGAAAACAGAAGAAAAAAAGTCTTGTGTGAGTAATGTAGAAGAGCAAATGTAATTTGCTGCGCCAAATCTGTTGAAACCATTTAATGAAAGATAACAAAAATTAATTTTTAAAAATGTATTTTTAAATATTAAAGTATATTATATATAGTAAAAAAAAAAAACACAAAAATATAAAACTTAAAAAAAAAATACAAAGAGATCGTGTCGGAAACAAAGAGCAAATATTGTGAAACAAATTATGAATTTCAATTACTAAAAAAAAAATAATAATAATAATAATAAAAAATAAAAAAAATAATAACAAGCTAAACAACAAAATTTGGGATCAGTACGTCCTACTATAGCCATGTTATACATATATACAACTACAACAAACAAACAAAAAACACTAAGAAACACACAACAAAATGAACAAGCAAAATATAAAAACAAATTGTATCTTTATAATATGTATATCGCTATTAAACGAACATATATACATACATATATGTATATCTGTGTATATATCTATCGTATGATATGCCGCGATAGATACTCTGCGTTTAGAGATTTATGCAATGCAATGAAATGAACAGCACAGACACAACAAACAGAACAGCAACTAATCCTTATTTATAAAATATAAAAAATAAAAAAATCGTAAAACATACACTACAAAAATGTAAAAAAAAAATACAAAAAAAAAAACAAATACATATGTGCTTGAATACGAAAAAAAAAAAACAACAAAAAGCAAAAATACAAAAACGCAAACTATAT